CCCGCGCCGCGCTGGGCGCTCTCGGCCAATGAGCGGCGTCCACATGCCGCGGCAGCGGCGAGAGGGGAGGCAGCGGCCGATAAATGCTATTAGAGCAGCCGCCGCGGAGCCGTCCCCGACGCCACCTCCTTCTCCTCCGCCGCAGTTCCCTCCGCCGCTGTTAGGGGTGCGGGGCTGAGGGAGCAGGGCGAGCGCGCCGCTCACCATCCAGCCGGCTCGCCTATATCGCTCAGTTCGGCCCTCTGGGGTCGGCCGGCGCCCCCTACTGCGGCCCGGGCAGGGCGGCGGATTGCCTGAGGAGAGCGGGAGGGGGTCGGGGCTGCGGCCTGCGCTGCCCGTGGGCAGTTGAGGGCGAAGGAGGCCCTCCCTTCTGCCGAGGGTCGAAGGGCCAGTGTCACCCAGCCCGTCAGTGCGGGCACCGGCGCGGGCGGGCCGCGAGTGGGGCGGTTGTCGGGGGAGGGGGCGCGGGGTGATTCAGCGCCCGCCCGGGAGGCGGAAGCGGCCGGAGGAGGAGGCGGGGGAGAGGCCGCGAGATCCGCCAGTGTGCTCCTGGGCGCCCGGGGTGGCACGAGCCGGCAGCGGCCCGAGGGCGAAGCTGAGGCGAGGAGGCCTTGGGGACGTGAGAGGACGGCCGGGCCCCCGCCACTATGGAGAACGCGCACACAAAGACGGTGGAGGAGGTGTTGGGCTACTTCGGCGTCAACGAGAGCACGGGACTGAGCCTGGAACAGGTCAAGAAGCTCAAGGAGAGATGGGGTTCCAACGGTAGGTGCCGCGGCCGGACTGCCGGCTCCGCGCGGGCCCGAGCGCTGGGGAAGATGGCTGACCCGGCCCGGCCGCGTGGGGCTCGGCTCAGCGCCCGCCGGGGGCTAAAAAGTAGATCAAGGCCGGGAGAGTGGCTGCGACGGGGCGCCCCGTCGGGTCCTGCGTATCCGGGCTCGACCCTTGGCGTTTGAAGCCCTTGACCTTCCCGGCGCGCAGCTAGTGCTGTGGCCCAGATGGACGGAGGGACGAGGTCCCTGCGGCCGGGCCGAGCCCTGCAACAAGACTTCTTCTCGTCACCAGCCGCTTTTTGAGGCGGCGTTGTTGGGAAAGCTGCTGCCTGTTCTCGGACTCCCCAAAGTTACACATCTGGCAGAAGTGATGACATAGCTGAACCGATTGCTTATTTCAGGAGACCTGTTTGGTGGCAATGCTTTTCCTCTGTCGGGTTAGACGTGACAGCGACAGGTTAAAAAGAGAAGAAGTATTGCATTTTAGTACGGTTTTTATTGGGGAGAAAAAACAGAAAGATTGAATCTTCATGTATCTTAAGTCTTTTTCGAAGACAGGGATGTTTATAACATGAGCAATTCTTTTTACAAAGGCAGAGTACTAAAATGTTTTTGTTTTTGTTTTCCTACCCGCTGTCGATACGTTGCTTGTCGAATTTCTACATTCTACAGAGTTACCTGCTGAAGAAGGTAGGTCATCTTAAAATGCCCTCCCCCCCTTTTGTGTGCTGGTGTTAAGATGATAGTTACAACAGATACATTTGTTTCTAACAGGAAAAACCTTGCTGGAACTTGTGATTGAGCAGTTTGAAGACTTACTAGTTAGAATTTTATTGCTGGCAGCGTGTATATCTTTTGTAAGTATGAAGAAATTTATTTTTCCTCAAAAAAAAAAAAAGTTGAGCATATTACATAGTTGAAAAACCAATAAACAGTGGTGTTCACTGGATGAAAATGTTTTTGGCGATTTGTGCTGTCTGCATGGTCTGCATGGTTGGTTGTTTTCTAAGATATTTTCAAATTAGAACCCTTCATGTTCAGAAAATAATAAATGGATGCCTGACATAGGGCTTTAGAAATTGTTCCCAAATGTGGCAGGGTCTTAGGAATTCTTGTGTTGTAGTCAGCTTTCAGTACCAAAAGGGTCTTCATTGGGAGGCCTTTTCCCTTTGAGGTTCTTCCATTGTCATCATGCGGTAAGATCATACTAAGATGATGTTGGGCTCTTTGTAGTCTGTAAATAGAACTTACAAAAGGAATATTCTAGTTGCTTTCCCTTCCTGGTAATGGCAAGGTGACAATTGTTCTGACAGTGACAAGAATGATGACGGCCATGATGGCACCACTGTTGACCAAATTTGGTCACTGACCTTTAGGGTAGTATATTTATCTAAATTGGACCCCTGTCTTGAGTGACTCCTGGGTATAGAGAACAAGATTTAGTACAGTTGGTTCTGGATCTTAAGAAATAAAACAGCATGGTGTTTTTTCTTGTTCTGCATGTGCTTACCCGCTCGTGTCTTGGGTGGTTGGTAAGAAACGTGAAATGCAGAGAAGTCCAGTGGAAAGGTTGGGGAGGTGGTGTGAGAAGATATTTCTAGGTTATTAAATTTTTTCTGTTCACTATTTATATTTTATTGCATTTTTTCATCTTGGGCCATACACTTTTTTGGTAGATTTCCTAAAAATGTTCATGAACCAGGATGCAGATGTTCCTAATCCTAACAGCATGCTATGCCTTTTGTTCTTAAATTAGTTACAGCATTTTATTCTTACAAAAGCCATGATGGGAAGTGAAGTTCATCTCAGGCAATACTTTTTCAGGCTTCACAAAATTGATACAGCTTCAAAGCTTCATTTTTGTATGTTTGTAAGTATGCAAGCCTCAGGGACCTACCTCAGTTTTTATGACAATCATAGGCTAGAGGGCTGTTTTGAGAATTAAAGAAACAAAGCAGTGGGTATTTAATTAGTTAGGTGAGGGAAAGGATTGCTTTTATATTTATAAGTAGACAGTAGGAAGAGGTGACCATCTGGTGTAATTTGGTACATAAATTTTGCTGTGACACTTAGCCAAGTGATGTATAGCCATTAATTCAGTCTCCAGTACAAGAGTCTTTTATAAGGCTTTCATTGACTAAAATTGAGAGTGTCACATGGCAAACCATTTAGCATACTGAATCACGCCACACTTTGCATGCACGTGTACGTGTGTGTCTGTCTTTGATTTACAGTCATTTTATAACTGTTACCCACCCCTGAGTAAATGCTGCTTTACCGATTAAGACAAATGAGTGGACCTGTGTGATTAGCTGCGGTTGCACTG